AGCAAGCAGCACAAGTCTTCGCCTGATAGAAACAGGAAAGGTAAGCATATTAGCCAAAACTAATTCTCAATGAGGTCTCAAACTCTACAGCCAAATGGCATGGTCATATTTTGAGATCAACCCACTTATCGGATCAGCAGCCGCATGCTCAACGGATGCAATCTCCTACTAATTTGTCATCACCTGGCATCCCTCTGTCTCATATGTGCTGCGCCACCATAAAGGAGCCAATAGCCTCTAAGAAATGCCGCGTTCACTCATCGTCAGGCTCTCCATCACACCGTCTTTTGATAGAATCTTCATCGCGCCGGCATATCCACTTTAAGAAGCAGCATGTATGGAAGCCACAGCCTATAGAAGTGGAGTCGCTCTTTTCACCTGTCCAAGTGTCTCGAAAGTGCAAGCGAGTTGTGTACTCTGATGACGACGATGATGACAACAAGTCTGGCAATACACGACAACAGCCTGAGACCGAGTACAGCCGGCCTGACGGTACTATCATCAAAGGCCTCCAAGTGTCACCGTCAAAGCTAACCTTCAAAGGTGACGGTGCTGTCACCTTTGAGATTGAGACTGGTGTTGCATGGTATGATAACGACCATGCAGCAGTTAAAGAGTGGGAACAGCAGTTTCTGCAGTTTTTTGATCTCTCGTGAGTGTGATCCTATTTGGAGTATCCTAGCTAACTAGTTGAAATGTTGCTCAAGGCCGATTTCCAGTCCTGCATATGTGCAACACAGTTGGACAAATTCACCTGATGCAGATCAGAATTTACGCAGTGGCAATCGGCCCGCTACCAAGGTACTGAGAATTTGTCAAGATTGCCGCTGCCCACGCTCATATTTAACCTCTTTCTAGACTGATTTTAGTGCAAACAACAGCATGATCACCCTTTCTCCCAGACAGGATTTGGCTCAGAGCGCCGTTGGAACTCCTTCGACCACGTTCTCAATGCTTGAGGCTCAAATTGTGCAGAATGCCAGTATCTCTCCTATTGTCCTCTCTCCTATTGTCCTCTCTCCTGCTTGCTCGTCTCGACCGCCATCTTTTCCTGCGTCTCTGGCTACTTCTCTGTCTACTGCAAAACCTGTTGTCTTGTGCAAAATTATCTCCTGTGCCTCCGCTGTTCCACTACCATCATTCTCTTTGCAACCGGCTCGCTTTGACGACCCTACTGTGGCCACTAGCTCTACTCTTGACGATTCCTTAGCCTTGGCATCATCACTCTTGTCTTTGTCATTGCAAAAGCCTCATTCTGCCAATAGCCAACTGCCTGGCAACACAGATAAGCTTGCCCGCCTTTGCACGTATGGCAAAACCACTCGGGCGCCACCACCGACAGTTTGTCCAATTGACAATTGCAAAGACTTGGTCCCATCAGAACTGTTGGCCCTCTTGGTTTTTCTTTGCTCTGCACAACCTACAAACGAGTTGGGCATGCTAACGCATCAGATTGAAATCTGCCAACGTATTAAGTATGAGAACATGCTTTCCCATGCGAGGACGGAGGGCTATCCTACCAAGATGGACTATGGACGCCTCTCGCAACATGTAGAAGAGGCTCACGCACGAACACTCACTATTATGCAGAACGGCAGCAAGATGTCATTTTTCCTCAAACTGAAAGAGCTTGAGGAACGTGCTATTAGAGCAGCCACAGATGCGGCGGCGAAGACGGGCGGCAAAGTGGAGAAGCCATCGTTCCTACTCGGCAATCTCAACTTTGCTGCTTCAGACCAGTGGCATGATGCCATTGTGGACCTTTTGTGACCCGGATAGTAAGTGCTTGCAGTCTGTACTTGCTAATAAGCTAACGACACTCCTGGGAACCCCAAAGCTTCGGCAAGCATGGACAACGTGTTATTGCCCTAACACTCGACATCATGTTCCCGGATGACCACGAAGCTTGGAAGCCCTGCCTTACAGGCATCAAGCCCCTTCTTCCGAAAGCCTTCTGTCAGCTCATCTTGGTTCAGGAAGTCATCCTGGACTTTGTACGAGCAGATCTCAAGATCTCGAAGCAAGATGCCTGGAATCACATGTACTTTGATATGCTATATGGCGTCGAGCACTTCAATAAAGACCCTTTGCTTGAACGGAGCTTTACTGATGTATCCACGCGAAAACTACAGCAGCTGAAGGAATGAGCAAAGGCTGCTCCCGTACGCTATTATCTACCTTCATGATGCCTTCTAACTTGTGTTTTATTTTATTTCAGGCTCCGCGGCAGAAGCCTCAGCCTACTACCCATCATACCCCATCTATTACTGGTGCAGAAGCTCAGTCAAGCTCTGTGCCGTGTGCTCAGAATGCCTCTGCCGCTGTCCCAAAGGCTGTGGTCCATACGCTGACTGTAGGCAATTTTCCATCTGTAAGAGCTTACATATCATAATAGCACCTATAAGCTAATCAAAAATTCAGCCTAAGCCTCCTAAGAAGAAGAACGAGACGTAGACCACTGGGGCAAAGACAGGCAGAACTCATGTAAGTAGACAGCGGCGTCAGCTTAAAACAAGCACGCAACTGAATGTCCACCATGCAGATACAGGCAACTCGATGCTCAAATTGTTTAAACCAAG